AGGGAACAGACTTTCTCAAGCTCCGTTCATTTCAGCTTTGTGCTGCAGGAAAACTGACCGGGCCAGGGTGCAAGGAAGATGAAGTTAAAACAGCATAGACTTTAGCACCAGCTGATGCATCAGAATTCTAGTCCAGAGAACTCAGCGGACATCTGTGGACCCGGGAACTGAGAGTCATGAGCATTGCATGTAACATGGAGCGATGGCTTCCCAAACAGGACCCGATAGACCTGCTTCTCCTCCGGAGAGGAAATACCTGTGTGAGCTCAGGAGCCAGCCTGGCCTGATTTCAGGTTTTCAGATCTCATCTGTTTTCTGCTTACCAAAGTAACACCTGCTCACCGTAGAGGATGTAGGGAACATGCAAAGTGACAAAGAAGGAAATAGAAATCATCTGCAATCCCATCCCCTCCCTCCCTCGACAACCACAGGAGTACCGAGATGTAGTGTCTGCTGGTGTTTCAGGTGTGAACTCACACACAGTCAGAAGCTGATTACAGTCTGATGCGTGTGTGCATGCTAAGTTGCTTCAGTCATGTCCAGCTCTTTGTGACCCTAGGGACCACAGCCCACCGGGCTCCTCTGACCACGGGCTCTCCAGCAAAAACACTGGAGTGGGTTGCTGTGCCCTCCAGGGGCCCCCAACCCAGGAACCATACCCAAGTCTCTTAGTCTCCCGCATTGGCAAGTGGATTCTTTACCGCTAATGCCACCTGGGAAGTCCGTAGTCTGACAGTAATCTGCTTGGGTCCCCATAACGGAGTGTGGGGCTTTAACTACAAGCATTTATTTTTATTTATTTCCTCACAGTTTTGGAGGTTAGAAGTCCAGTATCAAGATGCCGGCAGGGTCAGTTTCTGGTGAGATCCCTCTTCCTGGCTTGTAGATGGTTGACTTATCACTGTGTCCTCATGTGATAGAGAGAACTCCGGGGTCTATTGCTCCTTTTATACGGGCTCTAACCCTATGTGATTAGGGCCCTACCCTTCTGACCTCATTTAATTTTAATTTCCCCTCTAAGGAAACTGTCTCCAAATACAGTTGCATTGAGTGTTAGAGTGTTAGGGTTTCAACACATGGATTTCAGACTGACACAATTCAGTCCATAGCTCTATAATACATACCATTTGGTGTCCTACTTTTTTACAATCCATATTCTAACCTATATTCACCTGTTGGACTCCAGAGCTGGATATCTCTGAGTTCCAGTCCCAGTCAGCTTTGGGCAGCCCTGTGACTCTGGGCAAGATTCTTAATATCGCTGACCCTCCATTTCCTCGTCTTTAAAGTGAAGGGGATGGTAATACCAGCTCTGGTAGCCATTCAAAAGTCAAATGAGATACCCATTGGCATACAGCAAACGCTCACTAATTTTGGTCTTTTCTTTTGTATTAGGAACATTCCCCAGGGCTTGAAATAGCCTCTGACAACAAAATGTTTAGTCGCTAAGTCATGTCTGACTCTTGTGACCTCATGAACTAGAGCCCTCCAGGCTCCTCTGTCCATGGGATTTCCCAGGCAAGAATACTGGAGTGGGTTGCCATTTCCTTCTCCAAGGGATCTTCCCAACCCGGGGACTAAACCACATCTCCTGTGTCTCTTGCATTGCAGACAGATTCTTTATTGCTGAGACACAGAGAAGAGATATTGAATGGCTTTATAATACCCCATAGCATGATTGTGTCTAATTTCCATAACCATCCTGCAAGATGATCTGATGGCAGAGAGAAGTTACAAGAAGGAAGGTGGGGACTTCCCTGGTGGCCCAGCGGTTAAGCCTCCGAGCTTCCGCTGGCAGCAGAGTGTACAAGTTCAATCCCTGGTCCAGGAACTAAGATTCGTCATGCCATGCAGCCCAAAAAAGAAAAAGTTCTTGAACTGAATAAAAATGAAAATGCAACATATCAACAGTAAATTATTTTTAAAAAGTTACAGAAGGCGGCTCTGAGACTTCTGAAGCCAGCAGGCATCAGGTTAACTCAGAGCTGCAGGGCTGCTGGAAACCTGGCAAGCAGCTCCCCACCTTCAGGATCCTTGCTGGCAGGGCAGCCTCACAGCGGTGCTCCAGTCAGATGGAGACAAGGAGGTCAGGAGGGGGTGGGCGCAGTGAGAGCCGGGATGAAGGGTCATGAGGCGGGAAGACACAGGAAGTTAAACATTCATCCTGTGGATAAGCAGAGGCTAAGGGGGGGGCGCTCCGTCCAGGAGGAGCATCACTGAGTGGGAGGTGCGGTGTGAAGAGAAGGGGGAATTGTGAGCTGAAGAAGTGCTGGGTGAGCTTTCAGGAAACAGTCTTCAAGACGCTGGGAGCCAGTGGTGGGGAATGTTGCCCACGCTGGGCATCACTGGTGGGACGCAGGTGCCTCCATCCTTGTCCAGACCACTGCCCTCTTCTGCCAGCCAGGCACGGCTTCCTGCCTGCCGCCCCCCACCCCACCGTGCCCTGGCTCTGGTCTCCCAGACAAAGCATCCTCCATGGAGCAGCCACGATGACATATAAAATACGAGCCAGAGCAGGACACCTCTGACCTTCCCAGGGCTTCCAGAACAGAATCCAGCCTCCATGTCCAGTCTGGCCTCCTCCTGCCCTCTCTTCTCATCTCATCTCAGACCCCATCGGTTGAGCTCTTCTTGGCCCAGGGGTGTCTTCCCTCATTCTCTTGTCTCCTCCAGAAGGTTCTCCCCTCTTGATGCTCTTGCAGGTCTCAGATTTAAATTGTTCTTCCTGGAAGCCTGTCCTGCTCCCCGCTCAGACTGAGACCCCACCGTCCCCTCTCCTTTGTAGAGCACGTGCTTACCGATGACAACTGACATTGATGTTATAATTTAAAAGACTGGCGTGATTATTATTTTAAGATTAAGTCTTTGTGGAGTTTTAGGTTTTAGGTTTGCAGAAAGTTGAGTGGATTGCACAGAGGGCTCCTAATACCTAGGTTATTAACATCTTGCTTTCCTGTGATACCTTTGTTACAGCTGATGAACCGATACTGATACGTCGTCATCAACTCAAGTCCACAGTTGACGTTAGGGCTCTATCTTGATGCTCTCTGGGTTCTGTGGGTTTTGACAAATGCATAACATCATGGGTCCACCATGACAGTGTCATACTGATCACTCCACTGCCCTTGAAATCCCTTGGGCTCCACCTGTTAATCAGCCACCTACCCCTCCCCCACCACTGATTTTTTTTTTTTCCCTGTTTCCCTGCTGGACCCTATGTTCCAGTGGAACAAGGACCCCGTCTGTTTTATCAACCGTTGTACTTGCCGTTCCCAGCTCAGAGTCTGGCACGTAACAGGTGCCCTATAAATATTTGTCTTTGCTTATTTTAATAAAAAGAAAATTCTACCAAACACGTTATTCTGCTTTTTACAAATATTGACAATATATCTTGGAACTCTTCCCATATCAGAATGTAGAGCACTCTCTAACTTTTATTACAGAGGTTTTCCAACATGCATACAAAAATAGAATCTACTGTAATGAACTGCCACATACCTGTCACCCAACTTCAGCAATTAACTCATAGCCTTTCTCATTTTGTCTGCACTTCTCCCCAGGTTCTCCCTTCCTGTGTTATTCTGAAGCAGACCCCAGACATCAGATCATTTCATTTGTAAATATTTGTGTGTCTCTCGAGATAAGGACTTTTAAAAACATAATCACAATGCCATCACTGCACTTAATAAACATTAATTTAATATTGGGCTTACCTGGTGGCTCAGACGGTAAAGAATCCACCTGCAGTGCAGGAGACCCAGGTTTGATCCATGGGTCAAGAAGATCCCCTGGAGAAGGGAATGGCTACCCACTCTGGTATTCTTGCCTGGAGAATCCCATGGACAGAGGAACCTGGTGGGCTACAGTCCATGGTGTCACAGAGTCAGAAACAACTGAGCAACTAACACACACACAATTTAATGTCACCAAATGTAGGCAGTGTTCAAACTGTCTCACAAATATGCTTTGTTTATCTGAGTTTAGGGGTTGTTTGAACCAAGGCCCAGATGAAGTCGTCCTGCCCTTGGTTGCTTTGCCCTTGAGGTTTTCCTTAATCTGGGTTCCTCCTTCCTCTGTATCAGGTTTTGCCCCCCCTTGCAATTCATCGGTCCTAGAAGCTATGTCATCACTTCTGGATTTTGCTGACTGCATTTCCCCCTGTTGTTGTTTACCATGTTTCTCTGTCCTCTGTATTCCCTGTGAATTCATAGCTAATCCAGAATCTGCTCCAGAGCGTTGATCAGATTTAAGTTCAATTTGTCTTGACGAGATTGCTTCAGGGTGCACTGTATCCTTCCACTGGGAAGTTTTTCTCTGGACATCTCTGTTGATGCTCTGTGCCCACAGCCATCCATTCAGTAGGGAATGCTGCATGATGACTTTCTACTTCTATCTTTCCTTCTTCAATTAGCAACTGGACTGTTTCTATAAAAAGAAACATCCCCTCATCAACTGTTGGTTACCTGGAGGTATGCTTTATATAGGACACGCAAGACAAATGCTTGATTCTTTCCCTTTATTTACTGGTTTCAGAATGATGAGTTGCCTATAAATATTTGAATGAACGAATGAATAATACATGTGTGGATGAATTGACAGGGGTTTGGGAATCAGGACTTCTTTCTGCCCTCAAGGGCACGGGTGTGGGCCACAGCCAAGAGCAGGGGTTCCACCTGGGGCCAGGGCCAGGTCCAGGTCCATGCAACCAGGGGCAGGTAACTCTTGCTACCTGTTGACCACCACAGTGATCCAAAGCTGCGTTACTAAAAATACAGCATCTGGGACCAGCCCGTGAGAGGCAGGAGCCAGGAGCACCTCTTTCTGGAAGGACTGAGAATGGTGTGTCAGGGGTACTCGTCCCAAAGGAGAGTCGTGGCAGGTTGGATGGGTGGCCTCAAGGGTCCCTTCCCGGCCGCCGCTGACACTGTCCCAGCCCTTCCGGGAGCCGGAGCAGCCGCCTGCCCGCTCACTGATGCCTTGCCCCCTCCGTGTCCCCCCAGGTGCAAATGCAACCTGCACGCCAACCTGTGCTCCGTGCGCGACGGCAGCCTGCAGTGCGAGTGTGAGCACAACACCACGGGCCCCGACTGCGGCAAGTGCAAGAGGAGCTTCCGCACGCGGTCCTGGCGCGCCGGCTCCTACCTGCCGCTGCCCCACGGCTCCCCCAACGCGTGTGCGTACGCAGGCTGGCCACTGCACTCGGGCACCCCCCGCCCCACCCCACCTCAGACCAGCAAGGCCGTGGGCTCCTGCGACCTTCAGCCTCAGGAGCTGTGGATCTCATCATGAACACGCATGCACACACGCTTGCACAAAGATGTGCACACAAACATGCATGTGTGCACAGACACACATGTGCAAACACATGCACATATTTGCACAAAGGTGTGTGCACAAATATGCACACGTGTACACACGCATGCGAACACACATGTGCACAGAGATTTGCACACACAAACCTGCATATGTGCATGCATAGACACATATGTGAACAGCATGCACACACTTGCACAAAGGTGTGTGCATAAACATGCATGCACAGACATGTGTGAGTGCATGCACACACTCGCAAAGATTTGTACACATGAACATGCACATACACATGCACAGACTCACACGCACAAAGGTGTGTGCATACAAACATACATGCACGCACACACATGGACACACACAAACATGCACACGTGCATACACAGATACATTTGTGAGCACATGCACAGCTACTCACACAAAGGTGTGCACACAAACATGCATGCACTGACACGCATTTGTGATCACATGCATACACACTTGCACAAACAGGTACACTCTTTTTAACCAAGCTCCTAAGTGCCAGGCCTTGTCATCAAGGCCCTCTAGCATGCCTGCATCCTGCTGGGAACCTGAGATGAGCTGACTCAGCATCCTTCTCACTGACACTCCCCTTCGTGACCCCCAGGCAGGAGAGAAGGCCCACAGGGAGTCAGGGAGGGGTGGGCGGGGACCCCTCCCTCCAGGCTGGCCGTGAGGAGCAGCACCATCCCTTGTAAATGTCCCAGTGTTTACGGGACATTTACAGGTGCCGCATGGCACCAAATGCTACCGAGTCCCCCCTCAGCCCTCCGGTGGCCCCCGGAAGTCGGTCTCCTATTATCCCATTTTACAGAGGGGTCCTTCGAGGCCCAGGCCATGCACGGTCCACTCCTCTCTTGACTCAGTTCCAGAGTCCATCCTCAGGGTGTGCCCTCACACACCTGCCTCGTGAAGACACTTTCCCCCCGTCATCAGCCCCCAGCACAGTCACTGGGTGTCTCCTTGAAATTGAGTCCCAGGGAGCCCCCAGCTGTTGTGGATAAGGGCCCAAGCTGGTCCAGGGTGGGCTCTCCCCAGCCAACTCCCGCCCCCAACCCAGTCACTTGCTGACACTTGGCCAGTGCTTTGACAAGGAGGCTGCACCAGGTACTTTAGGTACAGCTTCTCTGCCCTCTGATTACCCCTCAGATGGTATTTTCATTATGATCCCACTCTCCAGATGAGCAAACTGAAGCCCAGCGACCCTCGGGGCCCTCCTAGTTAGCAGCAAGTTAAGCGCCAGCACTGGAGCCGGTGCCTAAGCCAGGCTGGGCTGCCGGGACTACTCGGCCCGCCCCTCCTGGGCACACTCTGGAGCCCTTCCATTGGCACCCCGCAACCGAGCGGTGAAAGCTTTATGTAACTCGAGGCTGATCAAAGCCGGAAGCCTCATGATGAGGCTGTGACAGTATGTCGTGTGTGTGTCGGGCACGGCTCTCGAGGCTTTGAAGGGTGACTTACCGGAGTCGCAGCCCCCATGCGGGCCTTCAAAGGCACAGAGAGTGCTCTGGGCAACCGTCCTGCCCCACCCGGAGGATGTCAACCCATCTTTGTTGCCAAAACCAGTTCTTGAGTTGCTGTCACCGCCCTCTGATTCGCAGGCTCACCTACCTTCAACTGTCCTGCTGCCTCCCCCTACCCCCTCTCTGGGCCCCATTCTCCTCCTAGAAGGATCTGTGAGATCCCCCGGCACCCACAGACTGACACCCTTACCCGCAGGTCATCCTGTGGGCCCCCAGGCTCATCCCCCCAGGCACCTCACTGTCCTGCCCCCAGAGTCACCGGGAGAGGCCCACACCCCAGCAAGCACCCTGGGGCTCCTCACGCCCCATCCTTTGTCAGGACCGCCTGGAGGGGACACTGTGGCCCCGGCTCCTTGCTCCTGAGACTGATGACTCCCACCCAGCTCAGACCGTGGCCTCGGGCGCCTGCAGCCCCAGAGCACAGATGCACACAGACAGAAAGGACCAGGTCAGAGTCAGGCCTCTGCCACTCAAAACTGTGAGGCCTCGGACAAGCCATCTCTCCCTCTGAGCCTTTGTTCATTTGTAGAACCAGGACCCTAGAAGCCTGCCCTAGGGCTGTTGTGAACTATAGCCTGCCAGGCTCCTCTGTCCATGTCTGGAATTCTCCAGGCAAATGAATCCTGGAGTGGGTAGCCATTTCCTTCTCCAGGGAATCTTCACGGCCGGGGATCGAACTTAGGTCTCCATTGCAGGATGGATTCTTTACAGGGAAACCCAAATTATAAAGTGCAAGTATTAGTTGCTCAGTTGTGTCCAACTTTTTGCTACCTCACTAGGCTCCTCTGTCCATGGGATTTCCCCAGGCAAGAATACTGGAGTAGGTTGCCATTCCCTTCTCCAGGGGATCTTCCAGGGATCGAACCTGGGTCACCTGCAGTGCAGGCAGATTCTTGACCATCTGAGCCACCAGAAAGCCCTGAGCCCTGAATGGCCTGGGTGGGGGCGGTGCTCAGCATGGGCCCACGTGCAGAAAGCCCTCAGCACGTGACAGCCACTGTGATCACCTTCCCGTCAGCCCCGCAGGCATCCCTGCGTGTCCCAGATGGGAGCAGGCACGGCAGCTTCCCCCTGTGGCAGCTTCCATCAGAGCCTCCAGTAAACCAGTCTGTCCCTGTGGCTGGGACCCTCATGTTCTCCGACACCCCATTGCCCCCCAGAGAATGACCTCCCGCCTCTTTGCCTTGCAATGGAGGACCTGAGAGTGTAAAGTCAGATGAGAAGGGTGCATGTGAGGCTCCCAGCAGAGGCTTATCAGCAGGTCCCCTGATGGGGTAAGTCACAGCTCCGAGACTCAGTGGGCTCAGAGCAGCCCTTCCCTCGCAGGCACGGGTGAGGATATAGTGGAGAATCAGACCCAGTCCCTGCATGGTGAGGTGCCCTGCCCCCCTGATTTCCTGTCCCCAGCCCTGCCACCCCCTCCTTACTCTGCTGTGACCGCCCCTCTTTCCGCAGGTGCCGCCGCGGGCTCCGCCGTCGGCAGTAAGTACACACTGGGGCCACCCGTCTGGGGAAGGTGCCTGGGGCCCTTGGTGCCCGAGCCTCTCTGCACGTCCTGGAAAGAGCAGGAGAGGAAAGACGGGACTTTCCTGTCCTTCCCTCCCCAGGTCCACCCCCTCCTCCGATCCATTTGCTTCTGCGCCCTCCTTCCTTCCTTCCTGTCTCACAAGCCCTTCCCTCCAGCTTCTTGACTGGTGCTGCTTTGGAAAGATCCCCTTGTCCCACCCCCACCGGGAACCCCCACTTCTCCCACTCCTGCCAGCCAAGAATGGGGGTCACTTTCCTTGACCGGTGGCAGAAGCCACCCCAGTCTGATCACGGGGTTTGGCCTCCCTCTGGGCAGTCCACAGCTATCACCATGGCAGCTGCTTGCCTGTGGGGAGTCTGGGCGAGGTGAACCAGGATCCCAGATGCAGGGAGGCTGGGGGAGGTGACCCAGACCCCCATGTGTCCAGGTCAGCTCAGGCCCCAGAGCAGTCAGACTGTCTAAAGGAGGGTCCGGGCGTCCCAGGGATTCAACAGGGAATGTGAGGGAGGGTGGGAGGGGGTGACTGACCGACTATTGTTAAATCATCATCAAACATGCACAGTGCCGGGCATCAGCTAAGCAGGATCCTCGTACTATCTCATTCCATCCTTGCAATCAGCACCCCCAGGTGGGTATTGCCATCTGCTCTCAGATTCAGCAGGAGAGAACTTGCCAGAGTCAAACAGCCAGCCAGCGGCAGACCCCAAATCTCAGGCTTCCAGGGGCACCATCCCACCCCCCCGCCATGGCTCTTTGGGGCCAAACTCAACCCCCGTGGGACACCAGTGGGCAGAGAGGGGCCAGAGGAAGCTGGATTTAGAGGGGACCCTGGTCCCCCCCAGTGGAATAGTAAGCTGTTCGTCTGCCTTGGCCCCCCGCCACTGACCCCCACCCGTACCCTCTCTCGCTTTTCTCATCTCTCACCAGGCATCAGCAGGTCCCGGAAAGACCGTGTCCCCAAAGTCCCTGTGGCCACTGCGGCCATTAGGGGGGACCCCGCCACTCCTACCCCCCCAGCATCCACTGCCTGGGCCCCCCGGGCCCCCAGCACCCTACAGCCCACAGGTGGGTGCCCAGCTGCCCTGCCCTTCCCCACTTCTTGCCCCGAGTCCCTGCCCCTCTCTGCAATGTGGGGGTATCAGCTCTGGGGAGGGCAGGGGCTTGGCTTTTAGAGTAGGGGATGCTAGATCCACAGTCGCGAGAACACGGCACCTGGAGGCCTCCAGGCTGTCTGGACCTCCTGTCGCTGGGGTCCAGCCGGGGCGCCCAGAGCTTGCAGCAAGCCCCTGGGCCCTCTTCCTCCTGTGCCCCCCTCCCTAGGCACTACTCAGCGTCACCCAGAGAGCCCAGGGAGCCAGCCCAGGCCCTGCCCCTACAGCCATGCCAGCCCCCTGGCCCTGCCCCTGGCGGCTGACCCCTAGGAGATAGACAGGGCAGGGCTAGCTGAGCAAACAGACTCCTCAAATCAGCAGGGTGGAGGGGATTGCTGCCTTGAGTTGCACAACCTCTGAGCTGGGCTTTTAGACTGTGGACTGCTGGGCCTTTGGGGGCGCAGAGTTCGGGGCAGGGCCAAGCCAGGGGTGTGTGGGAGGCTTGGGTGCTGGGGTGGCCCTCTGGTCTCCCTGGGGGAGTCCAGCCAAATCCTGCCTTCTGGGAGTGCCAGGAGTTGAAAGGACTCACCCTCCCCCAAGGGTAACAGGGAGATGTGGTCAAGGTCCCTGGTTCCATCGTCCAGGGTGGGGTGTCCCCACTGTGCGCCCCCACCCTGTCCCACCCCCCCTGCAATGAGGAGATGGCAAGGTGGGGGTCTCCTTACTCCTCGGGCAGTGCCATGACCCTTCCTTTCTCTTATGTTCACGGACCCCTGAGGGGGTGGCATTTAGAGTGGGCAGAAGCCCCTCTGTCAGCGGGGAGGGGCCCCCGACTCTCTGGCCTCAGCTTATTGTGGGGGATGGGGTTCAGCCCTCTCCCAGCCGCGGGCAAGTGCCCGCGCCCAGCTCCTCCACGGGACCAGAGGCTGACACACCACATGTCTTTTCTTTCTGTCCCCCTCCCTTCTCCACCGGAGGCATTTGCCCGGGTGGGGCGGGGGAAGGGGCCTGCTGGGAGATCCGAGGGTTTCAGGCTGGCCTCCTGGCCCAGGAATCTCTTTGGGTGGAGCCCAGGCTCCGGATGTAAGTTGGGCCAGCCTCCTGAGACTTCGCACTTTTTTTTCTTCTGCTGAGTCTGTGATGGACAGACAGGACCAAAAATGGTCGTGGTGGGTGCCATGTCTGCCTGCAGGTGGTGATCTCTCTGGGTGGGAGGCCAGACACACACACGCACACGCACACTGAGGAACCCGGACTCCATCTTTGGAGCTGCTTCTGACGCGGGACACGGGGTGCCAACTGCAAAGCTAGGAATTAAGGAGAGCGTCAGTCAGGCCGGTGACCTGGATGAGGGGAGGTGTGAATCGTGAGGGTCCCCAGGACTCTGGTGGAAGAAGGAGGCACCCCTCCCACCCTTCCCTCCCTGGACTGTTGGACATCCAGAAATGTCAGGGTCCTTTTTGCCTCTTGAGCCCAGGGCTGGGCTGGAAGCCCAGTCCCGAGCAGCCCATGGCTTAGGGGTCATCAGTCCTCTCTAGGACCTGAAGCCCATGCCTGGGCCCCCATGATGCCCCCCACCCCCTGCCACTGATAATGACATTCACTGTGGCGGGTGGAGACTGGGTGCCTCCCGGGCTAGGGCTTGTAGTGGATTCCTGGTTCGCAGCCCTGAGAATGAGGACTGGGATTTTCCTAGTCCCCCCAGGTGAGGATATTAACGGTTAGGAAGCAGCAGCTGGGTTTTTATGCTATGTAAATGATCCCTCAATAAAGCTGTTTTCAAAAGAAAGACGTAGTTGCTCAAGGAAACAAGACAGGTCCTGACCTTGGGGCTCACTGACTCCTGACGCTTCCTGCCCGCTCAGCTGCCCAAAGCCACCGTCCTGAGACCTTGGGGAGCTGTGAGGTGGTGCTGCCTCTAAGGCCAAGTTTGCACAGCTCCCCAGTTTTGAAGGAACAGACGGGCATCCATCTGGCCTTGGCAAGCAACACGAGTCACTCTGAGAAGGCTCTTGCGGCACACCTGAGTGCATCCCTGGAAAGTCCAGTCTCCCCACCCCCAGGCCGCCAGAAAGGTCCTGATTCTCTCCAGGTGCCTCCCAACAGGTGCTTCGGGCTCTTTGGCCCGAGTCCAGCTGGGCCTGTGGACCACTGGCCCGCATGTCTCTCCCTGCTGTCAAGCTGTCCTGAGGGCGGGGGCTGCCGGCAGAGAGGCTGTTCAAGACCACTAACCCTGTCCCTAGCGTGGCTGTGGTGGGGTGGCGGGAGTGAGCCTGCAAAGCACCATGCCTTCAGGGCGGGTTTATCGCAGCCCTAATTAAGCCCTTGCCAATTTGAGTCCCGAGGCCTCTTCTCATTGAACATCCCATAAATGTCAATTTCACATCCAGAGGCTCCCGGCTCCCAGCTGGAACATCCCCCGCACTTTTTAGCTGGTAGATTTTCTTTCTCTTTCTCCACCAACTGGCATCACGCGTAATCCCTTTAAGAAGCGGAAAATATCCGATTTCTCCCCTTGTCCCTCTGGGTTTGTCCTTTGAAATTCGGCGCAGAGTGATTCTTCAGTTTCTCGTCTTGCCAGCCCTGCCCACATTGCCTACTGTGGGTCCAGTTAGTCCCAGAGAAGGGCAGTGTGGCACTTGGGGGCTGACTCATATTGGGGTCCCTGGTTAAGATGGGCCCAATCTAGGGCTCAGGGAGGATGCTCCGGTCGCTGGATTGGGGTTGGACCGGAAGCTTTCAAGGACCTTCTCTGGGCATGTTTGGTGTCTTGGCCAGAACACACACATGCCCTTTACAGCCGTTGGCCAGAGACCCCGATACAGGACTCCATCTAACTCCAGCCTTCATTCAGAACGGAAGCCACGCAGGGAGGGAGCTCCAAGGATGAGGGATCCCACTGAAGAAAGGGATGTCCAAAGTATGCAGATTCTCAGGCAGGGGTCCCTGTTCCATCCAGCATCCCTGCGCCCTTCACAGGCTGCCTTAGCATAGATGCTGCCTCTCCTATAGATTTGAACCCAGTTCCATTTGGCCGCTGTAGACAGAGCTGCTCCTTAGAGTGCTGCTTCTGTAAGGCGCCTGCAGGGGGTGATGCCTCAGGAGGTCCCCGGGACAGCCCCAGCCCCTCGCATGACTTGGTTTCTCCTCTTCTCTCCCCCAAGAGTGGAGCAGGCCATCCACCGCTGCCCCGCTCTGGGCAAGCGCCCCTTGGCCCCAGGTGTCTTCCAGTGCAGAAGGTATGGGGGAGGCGGGGTGGGTGCTCCTGAGACTCTGCAGTGGAGGGATCAGGGCCATGGGGTGGGAACCCCGGGTGGCAGGGGGCCCCCGAGGGCGGAGGGGAGGGGCCTTGGAGCTCTACTCCGCACCCCCAACCCCAGCTACTTAGCCAGTGTGACGTCATCACACCCGACCCCTGGCAGTCCTGCACCCCAACCCCCGAGGGCTCCCAAGCCCAGTGGAGACCCTGTCCTGAGAACAATAATGCCCTGGGGCTCAAGAGTCAGAGAGGGCTTCCTGCAGGGGCTTGGCTCCTGAGTCGGGAAGATCCGCTGGAGGAGGGCATGGCAACCCACTCCAGTATTCTTGCCTGGAGAACCCCAAGGACAGAGGAGCCTGGTGGGGCTACAGTCCATGAAGTCGCTTCTAGGGGAAGGGGGATGGTAGCCTTCCAGGTGGCAGGACCAGCTGCGGCAAAAGCTCGGCGGTGGGATGCCAGGGAGCGGTGGCTTCCCCAAGCGGGACCTGGGGAGGGCTTGGGGGGTCGCGCTGAGACCAAGCCCAGAGCCTCATTCTCCCATTGCATTGGAAAGAAACTGGTGTGGGCTCGAGGGCTCGTTTGCACTTAGAGTGGACACACCCAGGAAGCACACAGGGTCTGCCTGAGTCTCCACGATGGGACGCTGTCCCTGGTCCCCGCTCACTGTTCCCTGGACGGTAGGACCTGATGCCTGGCTCCGGCGGCAACCCCTCCCGCACCTCCAGTTCCCTCCCGCCGGCTGTGAATGGTGAGCAGGGCTTTGCGCGCCCCCTGCTGGTGAGTGGTTCCGGAGGTAGACACAACTGGGGAGGGTCTGCGGTTCCCCGCAACCTGGAAATCTGAGTCCGGGGTCGTCCTTCCGGCGATGGGGAGCCGGCTGGAGCAATCACTTCTTGGCCCTGGGCCGACTGGGGCACCACGGCCTCCCAGGGAGAAGCCGAAGGGACCGTGGAATGCTTCCCCACAAATAAAGGGCTGGGGTTCTGGGCAGTCTGTGCTGCTGGCTAGATGGCTCCGGCCAGTGGAAGGCAAAGGAGTCGCCCTGCCTGGAGCAGGGAGCTTGCTTCAGAAAGGAAGTGCTCAGTCGCTCAGTCATGTCTGAGCGACCCCATGGACTGTAGCCCGCCAGGCTCCTCTGTCCATGGGATTCTCCAGGCAAGAATACTGGAGTGGGTTGCCATTTCCTCCTCCAGGGGATCTTCCCGGCCCAGGAATTGAATCTGCATCTCTTGCTTTTCCTAGATTGGCAGGCAGGTTCTTCACCACTGAACCACTGGGAAAGGAAGGGAGATGCCCAAATCTTGCATGCCAGGTTCACACTCTGGACTTGACCCTCACAGAAGTCCGGAGAGGAGCAATAGTTCAGGGTGTCCAAAGTGGTGTTTTTCAACCACTCAACGAACCGTCCAGCTTCAGCAAAATGTTTAGCATAGAGATGTCAGAGAATAACGTGGGAGGATTAATCCAGCCGAATTGATGGTAGGTGGTCTCCGAGGGGGGACCAAGGGCGCGCCGGGTTCTGCATGCCACTGGCTGTGCTGTGTCATCTCAGATCTGAGCAGGTGACAGAGTTGCTCCAGAGCTCTTCCAGGGCACCCTGGGAGCCTCTACTGGGCTTTATCTGGGCAAAGACAGCCGCCCTGGGCAGCTGGGCCACGGCTGACGAAAGAGCTTGTTTCTCATCTCTCCAAGCTGCGGGCACCTCCACTGTTGCCCCCGCCCCCACCCCTGCCAAGGCCTCCAAACTTTTCCAGCTCAGGCCCAAATCTCCTCAAGTGATGCCTGTTGAAGAATTCGAAGGTAAGAGGAAGGCCCTGGGGTGGATCAGCCCTCCTCCAGCATTTCTCTCCCTACCTCCACTGGAAAAAAAAAAGTGCCAGATGAGGACCAGTGATGCCCGGCTCAGAAAACCCTCCCAGAGTAGCTGGGTCACGGTGAGATGGAGCCTTTCTCCCCTCCGGTCCTCCCTCCCCAAGGGAGCTGGGGGCAGGCAGGAGTCAGAAGCACAGTGGGCAGGCACAGGGCAGGCAGAACAGCTGCCAGAAATAGCCTGTCCTGGCTCCCCTGGGAGGTGTGGCCCAGGGGCTCATCTTGGTGGAAGCAAGATTGGGGACACAGGGTCACCGACAGCGCTCCTTGGACACCTGGAGGCTGTCTCACCTTCTCACTGTCCCTGGAGGGACGTGACGGGAACAGGAGGCCATGGGGCGGGAATGCCACCCAACTCCTCCTGGGCACAGCACAGAGCTTCTTTTCTCCGAGGCCTCCCGTGTCCTTGGCCCTGACGCCTGGTCAGCCCTCCCCCTGCCGTCACAAAGGGAAGAGTGGCTCCCCTAGAGACACACAGACAGTGTCCCACAGAGGGCACCCTTCCTTGTTCAAGGGGGTGCTGCACCCCAGGAGGGGGTGCCAAGGGACGGCCCCCATCTGTGGCAGGGAAGGTGACCCTCCTTACCAAACTCTGCCCCCTCGATGACATCATGGGAGCCACCTCCAATCCCTGGGGGCCTCGCCTCTAGGGGTCACAGGTGGCTCCAGTGAGTCAGAGGCTGGGCCGGGGCTGGCCTTGGAGGCCAAGGCGAGACTCTCGGGGCACAAGCCTTAAGGCAGCATCCGCTGTCAGGGTCATGCCAGAGCAGGCGGCCTGCTGCCAAGCACATCTGCAGAACAGCTCAGGCTAATGGGAAGGGGTCCTGAAGGTGGCTATTTCCTTCGAAGCATCTTCCAAAGCAGCACGGGGAGGAAGTTCCTGGTCCTTTCCACCTCTGGCGTACATGCATGCGTCTACCCTTCACTGAATCACTGGGATAGCGTGGTGAACGCCATGTACCCAGGCACCGCCCTCCCTGAGCTCACCAGCTGGTGGCATGACCCATCCGCCCTGCATGGATCATTTCTAATCACCCAGCATCCCTCCGGAGAGCGCTTCACCCTGGTACCCAGCCAGGGCTTTACCCAGCCAGGGCTTTAGCACGTGCTCTCCCTGCTGCCCTGCCCACGGGGCCAGGTGGGAATTTGTGGGCCGGGCCCATGCTAGTTCTCATTCGGGTTCAAAGCCAGCAAGACCATCTCTCCCCAAATGGTACAGGAGCGTTGGAGGCCCGGGGCACCTTCCTGTGACAGGTCCTCCCCGCCCCCGCCTCAGTTTCCCTGACTGCATGGGGGAGGGGCGCAGGAAGGCACCGTCTCCATTTGCCCTCTGACCCTTGGTGTTTCTCATGCCCTGCCGGCCCAGACTGCGAGTGCTACGGCCACTCCAACCGCTGCAGCTACATCGACTTCCTGAACGTGGTGACATGCGTCAGCTGCAAGCACAACACACGGGGCCAGCACTGCCAGCACTGCCGTCTGGGCTACTACCGAAACGGCTCTGCGGAGCTGGACGACGAGAACGTGTGCATCGGTGAGCCCTCGGCTGGCATGTGGGGGGCACGGGGGCGCAGGGCACCAGAGCAGCGTTAGATGGAGTCTGGAGACCCCTGCATTGAAACCCCCGGGGAGCCTGGTGGTGGTCATTGTTGTCCAGGCTCTCAGTCCTGTCTGACTCTTTGCGACCCCACGGACTGCAGTACACCAGGCTTCTCTGTCCTTCATTAACCCCTGGAGTTTGCTCAAACTCATGTCCATTGAGTTGGCAATGCCATCTAACCATCTCATCCTCTGTCAGTCCCTTCTCCTCCCGCCTTCAATCTTTGCAAGCGTCAGGGCCTTTTCCAATGAGCTGGCTCTTCACATCAGGTGGCCAAAGAACTGGCACTTCAGCTTCAGCATCAGTCCCTCCAGTGAATATTCAGTGTTGATCCGGGAAAATTCCAGTTCCAGGGCCCACTCCAGCTGGGTATCTCTAAAGGCAGAAGCCTCCAGAATCTGCTCTATTGATAAGCTCCCCATGTGGGTCTCCCCGCAGGCACTGGAGTTTCAGAACCGCGCGTTCGAGCCAAAGACAGGGCCTAGGGCTTGCCTGGCTGTCCGGTGCTGGTGGTTTAGTCCCCAAGTTGTGCTTGACTCTTGCGACCCTGTGGACCGGAGCCCACCAGGCTCCTCTGTCCACGGGATTTCTCAGGCAATACTGGAGTGGGTTGCCATTTTCTCCTCCAGGAGGATCTTCCGAAGCCAGGCTATGTGCGTTTCAGCAATTCTCTTCCCCTCTCTGGGCCTGTTTCCCTGTTAGTAAAGTGGGAGATGGATCAGATCAAGGGTTTTCCAACCCTTCTTGGGGAACTGATGCTTTTCTTCAAATGAATTTTCTCTTGTGCTTTATAAGCCCTCCACCCCCCAGTGAGCAAATGGTCTGCTTTCTTTACCCTCTGCACCAGGCCTGGCTTTTGCAGTAAAGAAGGAAATAAATCTACAAGGAGCCAGGCCCAGGGCCTGGGCCCAGGCAGGGGCAGGCCAACCCCAAAAGTGGGCCCCATGGCCTGCAACCGGCGCCCACGAGACTGGAACGCTGTCTCCTGTAGAGGCCAGTTCTCAGCTCGGGGATGCCCAGCGCCCTGGGGAACCGCACTGCCCGTGCCCCGCCCAGCAGGCCGGCCCAAAGCTGCAGCTGTCAGTCTGAATTATGGCAGCGGCCTTCAGATAATTCCATCAGCTCTCAAGTGATCCCAAGGGAACCGTGCAGCCCATGAGCAGTCGCGGGGGACGGGGAGGGGCCTCTGGATCCGCTTAGAGGAGGTCCTCCCCGCCCCCAGCACCTCCTTTTTCCTTGCCTGTCTGCCTCCACCCCCGGCCCAGCACTAGGCGACAAGGACACCTCGCTTGGGGGCGTTTGCCTCCCCCAGGGGGCAGAGGCCCCAGGAAACAGACTGGGAAGGGGCAGGGTGAGGCTGGAGGCCCTGGAGGAGAGCTGTGGATGCCCGCTACACCTGCCCGTCACACAGCCCTCGGGTCAGATGTCAGGTGGCCTCGATGAGGCCCCGCCCACCTGTCAGTCACCACTCTTCGAAGCTGGGGTGGATCAGCGCCAGCCCCAGTTACAGAAGCGGGGGAGACGGGCCCAGAGAGCGGAAAGGGCTGGCCCAGGCCACATAGCGCCAGGGCCAGAAAGAGGGAAAGGGGCTGCCTGGATGGGAGGAATTGCCGTCTTCCCTCGCGATCTGGACACCCCAGGCAGCCTCACCCCACCGTCCAGCCGCAGATGCAGAGATACGATGGGGAGGGTGGCGGGGTCTGGCGAGGTGGGTCCGTGCGGACAGCGCCCACAAGTCACCCTGATCACTCGCCGTGCGACTGTCGGTCCAGAGTGTAACTGCAACCAGATCGGCTCCGTGCACGACCGGTGCAACGAGACCGGCTTCTGCGAGTGCCGCGAGGGCGCGGCGGGGCCCAAGTGCGACGACTGCCTCCCCACGCACTACTGGCGCCAGGGCTGCTACCGTGAGTGCGCGCCGGCCCGTGGGAGGACCCGGGGCTGTGGGGCCCGGGGCGGGGCCTGAAACTGCGGGGCGGGGCCAGTAGGTGGGTGGGGCCTGATGCTGCGGGCGGGGCCAGTGGCTGGGCGGGGGCCTGATGCTGCCGGGGCCTGTAGGTGGGTGGGGCCTGATGCTGTGAGGCGGGGCCAGTAGGTGGGTTGGGCCTGATGCTGTGGGGGGCCGTGGGTGGGCGGGGCCTGATGTTGTCAAAGGCGGGGTCTGGGTGGTGGGCGGGGCCTGATGGAAGAGAGGCTGTCCAAGAAAGTGATGGGCTGGCGGAGACCCGATGTTAGCCACGGGAAGAGGGTGGAAGGGCGCCCCAGGTACTTGGACCGGCACCTGCTAAGCACTGGATGCGGGAGAGCAGGTGCGTCTGAAGAACCACCAAGGCCAGTGCCCGGCGGCAGGGTCGGGGAGGGCAGGGAGGCAGGGGCCAGGGCTCCGCCCTTGAAACCATGACCGCAGGGAAGGCTCGCACCAAGTCCGCCCTGAGCCTCCAACACCGCCCGGTCCCGGCCGCTCCCCCAGGATTCGCACGTCCCAGTCGCAGAAGCTCCAGCAAGGGTGGTGATGGTAGGTTCGGGGTGGACCAGACCGCCGCCCGCCTTAACCGCCCCTCCGCCCCGCAGCCAACGTGTGCGACGACGACCAGCTGCTGTGCCAGAACGGGGGCACCTGCGTGCAGAACCAGCGCTGCGCCTGCCCGCGCGGCTACACCGGCGCGCGCTGCGAGCAGCCCCGCTGCGACCCCGCCGACGCCGAGGGCGGCCTGGACTGCGACCGCGCGCCGGGGGCTGCCCCGCGCCCCGCCACCCTGCTCGGCTGCCTGCTGTTGCTGGGGCTGGCCGCCCGCCTGGACTGCTGAGCCCCGCGGAGGGCACCCCGGGCAGGGTGGGGGCCAGTCCGCGCGCCCTGCCGCGCCCTGCGCCCCTCGCCCGGAGAGCCGGGGGGCCCCGGGGGCTGGCGTCCGAGGCCTGGCGGTGAGAAGGGTGCGGCCTGAGCTGCTCCCAGGTGCTACTCAGCAGAGTCCTCCCGCCCCGTCCCCCCCCCCCCCAGTGGCACTTGCCCTCGACCCTGCACTGCAGCGGGGGACGCTGTGGGGTCCTGGCCCCAGCGGCCTGCGATTTTGGTCTTAGTTTTTCTTTTATATCACCCACCGTCCCTTTCCTTTTTTTTTTTTTTTTTTTTGCCGGCGGTGAGACAGAGGGTGGGGAGAAACGCTGATCACCCCACACCCTCAGATTCTGCCTCCTGCCACACACACGACTGTTGCAGACACCCCCAACGCCTGTCCCTGGCTCACCACCAGCCAGCGGACCCAAAGTCCAGTTGCCTACAACTCTAGTTGCTGAAGATTCTCTTTTCTAGTCTTGGTTTTCCTTTGCAACCCACCAGACCCCAGGCCTTTCCAGAGGTCTGGTGACCAAGGAGTTCACTGTCTGGGGGAACGCAGTTAGGACAGAGGGTTGGGAGGGCCGGACACTTCCTTTTGTAGAGAACTATTTTTGTTTGTATTAACTGCCCCTATGAAGGAGGGACCGGGCTGGGATGTTGGTCACCATGGTGGGTGGTTGATGGTGTATAATCTGACAGTAAAGAATCTGCTCACTGCTGCCTCCAGGGCCTGTGTTCTTTCTGCTCTTTTTTTACCCAGCAAGTGTGGAGGTGAAAGGGGAACCCACAGAAAAGCCTTAAAGAAACGACTTCACTCTCAAGGCCTGTCCCTTCCCCAGGCCCCTCTGTGAATGACAGGCAGGCGTGGCCAGCAGAGCTGTCTCACTATGTGGCCAGGCCTGGCCCTGCAGTGACCTCCGATGTTCCCCAAACTTGGGAGGTTGTCTCCCTCCTTTCCCTAAAAAGAAAAAAAAATCCAAAGTGTATTGGCACTTTTCCTTAACTGTCTTTAAATTTAAAAGCACATGGTAGACAGGGATTTGCTGAGAAGTCCCAGTGAAGGGACTGGCAGAGCGGGGAACAGGGCTGGACGCCGATGATTCTATTTATAAACCGGTGTCGGAGCAGGTATCAGGCCCGCTGGACCCTCAGCTTCAGGCCCAGTGTCTGCAGCTGGGGCCGCGGCCTTCCGGCGCCCCCTGGTGGCCAGATTCCAAGACGGGCACAGGCTGAGGGAGGCGGAATGACAAAGACCCACAGCCCACAATCTTCCCCTTTCATCTCCCCTCTTTCCCTCCCGAGCATCAGTAACGGGATGGCCAAGGGGACCAGGGACAGCCTGGGAACTGTGAAAGGAAGCTCGGAAGAAAGGGGTCCCTCAGCTTAGCCCTGTGCTTCTGAGGTGCCTGTTGGTTTCTCTCTGGTCCTTGGGAGTTGGACTTTTCTGCTGTTTCTCAAGAAGGTCTGACTTTCCCTGGCCACCTGCTTACTTCCCAGCCGCCTCGGAAGATTCGCACCTGCAGTTACCCTCTGGCCGCAGCCGATCTTTCCAGGCTGGGACGTTTAACATAAAACTGTGTTCATTCCTCCTGCAAGTCCCCAGAGCAAAGCTCAGACGGAGTCTACTGAAGCTTGCCCTTGCAGATGACAAGAGATACAACACGACCACAAGGGATACAAAATGTGTTCAGGGCCTCTCAGGGCCAAACAGCAGGCCCTTCTGGCCTCCCGATCTGTCTCAGCTCCCAACCCCAAAGTGCCTTCTGTCAGGTCCCCCGCGCCCCCTCGCCCTTACCATCCTCACTTTCTCTCAGTGACAAGCTCACTAGCTCAGCGGCTAAAAGAAAACATCCCTGGGGCACCCTGCGGCTGAGCGTGCTCACGTGACCCAGTTCTGGCCAATGGGCTACAAGCAAGGGTGATGGGCGGGGCCTCCGGCAAGAGTCTTGGAAGCCTTTGTTCGCCTTCCTCCGCACCAAGCCTCAGTTGGCCAAGTATGGGGCCCGTGCTTGTCTCTCTGGCCCCCTCTTCCTGATGCTCAGTCAGCATGGTTTGGGGAGCCGCCCGCTCAGGATGGTGGAGCCCAGAAGGTGGAGGTTGGTTTTCTGAGCACCTAGCAGAGCTGGGTGACACCAGCCCTGGTTGCTCGCCTCTGCACTTAAATGTGTGACAAAAAATAAACCTTGATGTGATCAAAAACACTGGTCTTCGGGTTTTCTGCCACAAGCGGACTTACCGGTTCCTAAGTTACTGGCCTTTCCCACTCTGGGTTCCTGAGGCCAGAGGCAGTGACACTAAAACGCTCCCAGCCACAGCCCCCAACACTGCCCACGAGGAAGACAACAGGTCACAGCGCCTTTAGGCCCGGGAGTTCAGGGCCTCACTGTCTCAAGACCCTCTTTCCAGGACGGGACTGTCCTCCACCTTCAGATGAGCAGGGGGTGGGGGTGGGGGCTTGGGGAGGATGAAGGGGAAGGGGGAGCAGGCGGAGCAAATCCACCTCTAGGTAAACACCAGCTGCTGGCTGCGATCTGTAAGCAGCGGCTTGTCTTCCTCCTCCTCCTCGTGATGTTAACATAGGAAGGAGCCACAGTCATCACCCCTAAATACACACACACAGTCTTGGGTCCCTTGACAGAAGCAGAGTTTGAGACACGGGTTTGGAGCGTGGATTCATGGAGGGGGTGCTGTTCAGAAGAGGGATGAGAGGATTCGGATGGGGGCGCGGAGGCCCAGTGAGGATGCCTGAGGGTACGCACTGAGAGTCTGAGCAGATACCCCATCTTGAAGCAAGGGGCAGGCTCATGTCATGGGCTTCATGCTAGATTTGGGGGCCCCAGTACAGAAGGTGGGCAGCTCTGAGTTGTATCAGGCATCACAGCATTGCAGGGGTGGTTCCCATAGACGGACTCCGGGCCAGGCATCAGCAGCTTCTACTGTAAACACACACACACATTGGTGTCACCCTGGGCGTGTCCCCAGGAATGGTCCTGAGGGGTCGGGGAGGAGGTGGGCAGAGCCCTGCCTGCCCTGACCCCTCTCAGCAGGGCCAGTGGCACTGTGGCAGCTCCCCTGGGACTAGTATCTACACAAGCCAGGGCCAGGGAGGTGGAGCACGTGGTAAATCAGAGTGGCAGCCCTGGTCCCCTAGGACGCGGCCCAGGCCCTGACCCCGGCCGGAGGCTGGACGGAAAGTTGCCAGCAGCCATTTGGAAAACTCTTGACATCTTCCAGGCTGCGGGGAGAAGGAGAAAGCAAGGTGAGCAGAGCCCGGAGTCACAGCCCGCCTCTTCAGCGGTGCTTCCTGGCCCCAGACCTCTGGTGTGAACATCTGGTTCTGAGTGGTCGAGAGGAGAAGTCTCCGCTTTCACAACGTGGATGGTGAGAGCACGGTCCGCGGCCCCAGCCCGTGCGTCCTTAGGATGCACTGTCACGAACTTCACCCTAGGACAGGACTCTCAGCCGCAGCGCTACCGACATTGGCAGCAGTACCGGCTGGGGCGGGGCGCAGCTGTGCTGTGCGGGTAGGATGTTTAACAGCATCCTTGGCCTCAAGTCTCCAGGTGACAGTCGCTTTCCCTCCCACATGGTGACAACCAAAAGTGCCTCCCGGCGTTGCAAATCGGGGGTGAAACTGTCACGGGTGGAGAATGTTCTAGGCAGAAGGACTGGTCTACCCAGTTAACAGAGAGGGAAGTGGAGGCTCTGATTTAGGAGGTAACTTGCCTGAAGTCACGCTTGCTAAGAAGCAGGGGCAGGAAGTGATTCAGGATGACGAGAGTGTGAAGCCCAGGGCGGGGAGTGTCCACCCTGCAGGGCCAGCAGCTCTGGCCCAACCCCCTCCTCCGCCCCTGCAGCAGCTCCAGGGCAGAGCAAGGTGCCCTGGGGAGCCAGGTGTCATCCAAACGGCCTTGCTGTCAGGGGAAATGCCTTGCCCGCTGCCCCCACGTGCCCCCTCTAAATAAGCAGGCCTGCTGTGTCGGCACTTTTACAGTTATGAGGCGTTTATGGGCACCTGGGGAGCAGTTGTGGGCATCTCCCCACAGGCCTGGGCAGGCAGAGCTGAGAGGGGGCTCCCCCCATGTCTGCACCCCTGCCCCAGCATGGCACCTCCAGCTAGGCCAGTCTCTCCCAGTCCCTAAGGGAGCCCTGCACATCTCAGGCCAGATGAGCAAAGGGTAAAAACCCAGGAGGAGAAGCTTGACTTTGTGTTTGTTTTTTTTATAAAACACAAATCACAACTTCAGGGAAGTTGGAAAAAACAGAAATGCTAGATAATAAGAATTTTTAAATTAAAATCACCCACAATCTTCCATCCAAAACTAATAACTATTAATATTTTCTGGTGTGCATGTCCAGTTCCTTTCCATAAAACACTCCCCTGCCCCCACGCAGTTTGCCCAGCATTTGTTAAGACCGTGCTAAGCCCTGTGCTGAGGCGGACCCCGGAGATGAAACTGAGAAGTGGACTCCAGTAATTAGAGCCATTTTACAGCTGAGAACACTGAGGCTCCACAAGTGTCTTGGTCGGAGATCTTGGGCACAGCATCAAAAGTCGACTGGGCAATATAAGTTGAAAAGATGATTTGAAAGATCACAGGACCCACATGGGACTTCCCTGGCAGTCCAGTGGTTAAGACTCTGAGCTCCCAATGCAGGGGGCCCAGGGAACTAGATCCCACATGCTTCAACTAAAGATCCTGAATGCCGCAACCAAGACCTGGCTCAGTCAAATAAATTATTTTTTAAAAAAGGAGATGCAAAATCCCACCCTGTTACTTTTTGCCCCTGCCAATGACCCTCTTCCCCACCCACGGGTCCCCCCTCTACACACACATGGCAGGGCATCCCAGGCTGTGCTCCCCGAGACACAGAGGAACCTTGCGGTCTTGCCAGGTTGGGCCAAGGCTGGAGGCCAGGTGGGTGCATCTGCATAGCTGCGCTGCTGACAGCTTCCAGTGGGAGGACGCC